ACAAAAAATTGGTTTTGGCTCATTGAATTTTTTTAAAAAAAATAATAAGAAAAAAAAATCTGGTTTCGAGCGATTCTCCGTTGTCTAACTTTTTAATCACTTCTGAGAGGTCCTTGATTTGGTTGGGTTCTGACAACACTAATTAAAATGGTGTTTGAGCATTATTAACACTAGCAATTAGACAGAACTCTAGATAGTTTACAATTACTTGTGTCTGCTTAACTTCATGGTATCAAATCAGAGAAATGTATTGGATGAAGTGCAGACAAATACAGCGAATGCTAGATGGCCAGCTGCAATAATCCATCAAAACAAAACAAAACCCTGGCCTTATTTTCTTTTTCTTTTTTTGGCCAGAAACACTGGCATTTTTTTTTGGCCAAACACAGTCATAATAAATCATAATTAATCACTTGTTGATTCCGGGAACGATTGTTTTAATTGAATTTCATAAATTGGAATGTGTACTTGTATATGATGATAATGCCCATATGCCTTAAATGGTATATTTCCCCATATGATAAAAATCTTGTTAATTTTTAACTGTTTGTTACTAACAGAAAAAATAATTTAAAAAAAGTTATGTATGGCACCCCAGTTATGAATATTAACTGTCATTTTTTTTTACCAGCAATTTTAACTGTTAAAAATACTGAACCTAGTTTGCCTAAATTTACATGGGAGTAAGTGAGGATGCCTTGGACGCGCAATAGAGTCAACGGTAAGAGCCAGTCAATAGTCTATTTTCTAATTCTAATTTTCGTTTGCCAATGAGCCGGTCAATATGGTCCTAATCTGACCCCTTCTCATTCTTCATCAGTTCATCGTCTTCCTTCCCTCTATATATATGACCCAGAAGTGCCCTCCCCATCCATAGAAAACACTAACCACAACCAGGTTCAAGTGCAACAAACCAATCCTGAAATTAATGGCTTCCCTGAACACTTCGTCTTTTCTTTCTTCTTCGAAAAGAGTAGTACCTGTCAACGCCTCCATAAATGTCCCCAAATTCCCAGAAATTCCTTTCTCATCATCATCAAAGCTCCCGAGCAGGATGCTCTTCGAAGAACTCAACGGCTTCTCCCATTCAATACTTCCCTCTCAAAACACCAACCTCACCGTCTCCCAATCTCACGACGACCTGATTAGATCAGAACTCTATGTGATCCTCGAAGCAGTGGCCGATCGAGTAGAGATGCATCACAACATCGGCGAGCAGCGCGACAACTGGAACACCCTCCTCCTCAACTCCATCAACATGATCACCCTCGCTGCGTCCACCATGGCCGGAGTCGCCGGGGTCGCTGCTTCCAACGGAGCAGCTCTTCTCGCTTTTAAGCTCTCCTCCGGCCTCCTCTTCTCCGCCGCCACTGGGATGCTTGTCATAATGAACAAGCTTCAGCCGTCGCAGCTGGCTGAGGAGCAACGTAACGCAACGAGGCTTTTTCGGCAGCTCCAGAACGAGATCGAGACCAAACTCGCGATAGGAAAAGTGAACGAAAAGGATGTCAAGGCCGCAATGGCCAAGGTCCTGGCTCTCGATAAAGCTTACCCACTTCCTCTTTTGGGAGCAATGATCGAAAAATTTCCAAACAAGTTCGAACATGCAACATGGTGGCCTTCTTCATCACCAAAGGGAACCACCTTCCAATCCAAGGAAGCTAAGAATGGATGGAACGAAGGACTAGAGATGGAGTTAAAAGAAGTTATGGAAGTAGTGAAGAAGAAAGACATAGAAGACTACGAGAGACTTGGGAACCTGGTGTTGAAGGTAAACAAGAGTCTGGCAATTGCTGGGCCTTTGCTTACTGGAGTTGCAGCAGTGGGATCTATGTTCATAAGCCCAGAATCATCGTGGTCGGCGATTGTGCCGGCGGTGGCGGGGGCCTTGTCGACGGCCATAAACGGCTTTGAGCACGGTGGCCAAGTGGGGATGGTGGCTGAGATGTACCGGAACTGTGCAGGATTCTTTGAAATGTTGGAAGATTCAGTTCAAGAGGCGATTGAAGAAGATGTGGAGAGAAGAGAGAACGGAGAACTGTTTGAGATGAAGCTGGCTTTGAAATTGGGAAGGAGCTTGTCACAACTTAGAGACCTTGCCAAGAAATCAGCTTATTCTCGGGTAGAAGGAGCTGACGTCGATGAATTCGCCAGCAAACTCTTTTAGCCATCAATAATTAATGAATAGTCCCATTCACTATTAGTCCAACATTTTTGTTTATTGATCCTACCCAACGTAGAAATTAATGCAGAGGTTTTATTTTTGTTTAGGGATGTTATGATCTTAAACATCAATCCAATTGCAATTGCAATATATCTATGACTCTGACAAATTTTCCCCCCTGCAACTGATCTTTTAATTTATTTTGTTGACCTTCAAATCCCAATCCTATCTTTTAGGAGTAATACACCATTCGACTCTGAATTTTATCTCTACTAGTTGTAATTGCTTTGAGATTAATTACTTGTACTGTGATGGCATTACGAAATTCAAAGCAAACACATGCTTTTCCACCGACAACATAGCGAGGGAAAATGACATTTCAACTTAAATAAGTAAATAAAAGGCAAAAGTCCTTTTGACAATCGGGGAAACAAAAGAGAGTTATTCGACTAATGCTGTTAAAATACAAATTGTATATCTTATAAAGTTAAGTTTAAATTTTTTTTCTATAACCTTTTTCCAATTTTTAAAAATGTCAGGAGTGTTGAGTTAATTAAAAAAATAATGTATACAAGTTGAAAATATATATTGGAAGAAAAATAATGAATAGAGATGTCAATAAAAGATCAAAGTGTTATTTTTCTTTCTTTCTTAGGCTCAAAGTGAGTTAACCATGGACAATGACCCACAAATGAGGGGGTGGTTGGTATAATTTGTACATTTATATATATGTGTGTGTGAAAACATAAGGATTCTTGTGAGCAAAATCAGGCAAAACCATATGTATTAGTATATGAGTGAATTCAAAATGATAGGCTATGATTGACCAAAGTGTTTGGTTTCACAATTGCTTCTGCCATTACTAAAATTCTACTTCATTCATTTATATACTATTCCCTCATCCATGTGTTGATGCTAGGCCTCCCAAGCTGCAATTTTAGAATGGCAAAATGTTTCAGGGCAGACTTCTTTAGATTCTGACTTTATTCTTTTTTTTTAAAAAAATCATTTTTTTTTCAAGTTTCTTTGGTCAGCACCACTTTTTATTTATCAGGGGTGTGCGCGGGCGCGTAAGAAATTATTCTGGCATTTTAACTGGGCATACAAGTCGGGGACAAAAAGAACCCAACAAATTAGCGTTCTTCCACATAACATATTATTGGCAAAGTTTGACTTTCCTGACAGTTGGTCCACATTGATTTTTCTTTTGCCTTTCTTTACAGTTCCACTCTGATCCTATCATCATCACCATCACTATTTATTTGATTTGTTAACCTTAGGGTTCCAGTTAGATTAACTTTTAGAAACTGAATTTGTACCGAATTCTTTTGAATATGTATTACTCTTCTCATAATTATGTGCTAATTAAATAGTTTTTGTAAATGAATTAGAAATTTGAAAACGAAATAGACAGAAAGGTAGGATTATTAATATCTAATCTTTAATTATTTTGATCGACTTAAGAGATGTTTGGATGAAAAACAAATCATGATTTTAAAATTTTTTTTACGAAATAAATGTATAAAAAAATTTGTTTCGTTTTGTGAAAAAGTATTTTTAGAAATGAATCTTATACAATCCAAATACCTCCTTCATCATGAAGATATGACGTGGGGATACTGTAGACACTCAGGATCTAAAACACTTGTACCTATAGCAAGGCTCACATAAATTGAAACGGAAGAAAGTATAACATATAGACAACATTCCTGTCTCAATTGTTTTCCCCATAGTGTTCAGGTGATTTTTATTCATGTTATTATTAATTACAATTAATTTCAACAAAAGCAAATTTTTCTGTCACTTTAAAATTCGAAGGTATATTTTTTTTCAGAGAATTATACTCTTTTATGAATAATTAACAAATTGTGTGTTTATACTTTATTTCAAGTTCTGTATACATAAATCAACTCGACACATTGTAAAAATGGAAGAATAATCTGTTGGCAAAAAAATAGAAGAATAATCTAATTTAACGAAAACAGTTTTTAAACAAGTCGAGTCGTGCAAGGAAATTCTGCGCTCGTTGGCCAAAAAAAAAAGGGGTCCGGTTCAGAGATTTCAAGTTGAAAAAGTAATTTTTTTTAATATAACTTTTAGAAAAATAAAATTGAATAAAAATTAGATTGGGTAACATAATTTATATTTAGATTGGCTTTTATAAAAATTAATTTGTAAAACAGAAAAGCTGTTTTGATTATGATTAATAAGTAAGTTTAATTTGTAGAATGATCAAAATAGATATGAATTTATAAAAGATAATAACTTCAAATTATTATAACAGGAAAAAGTTAAATTTAATGAATAAAATATATTTAAATTATAAATTACAGTAATGTAAAATTTTTTGAATCAAATAATATTATATAATTAATTGGATGATATATTATGTATAATTTATATAAATATAAAATTAAAAATAATATTATAAATTAAAAATATTATAAAAACTGTTAAAAATTATTTTTAGTTAAAAATATTAAAAATAAATAATTAAAAACTGATTGAGAAGGAAAAAAAAATATATAATGAGAAGCATGATCGTGCTTAAAAAATAGTTTTTGACTTCAAATTGGTCAAAAACTCTTACAAACAACAGCCTCTAAAGTTACAATTCTCTGCTCAAACCGGTCACCAAACAGAACCTCTGTGCTCTTCAGAGCGGTGGGAAGAAAAGCCGGACAAAACGATGTCGTTGTCGTGTTTGGCAGGCGACATGGAACAAGGGTCATTTCTCGCAGTCACAGCCCAGCCAGAGATTTTTATTTCCTGGGAAATTTTCGAATTTTCATATTTCAAAACTTGAAAGCGATCCTGTGTATCCTGCAGCCATTCATATAATTCGTGGTTCAGGTGAATCCCCTTGTCCATAGATTCTCCCTCAATTGCTATTGTTGATTCTTCGCTCTCTTTCAACCTCACTTCCCAATTGGTTTCAATACAATCGCTGGATGAGCTAAGCTGATTCTCAACAGGTATGCCTAATCCCATTTTCTTATCTTTCTCAGGTTTGCACTTGTAACTTTTCAATCATATATAGCTTAGTTTGTGAGCCAAATCATGTCTTTATTGTAAGATACGAACCCACGAACGCAGACCATATTATAGCTGTTTTCTTCATGAATTTCACTCATTTTAATTATAATCTTGATTGCTATCTGTGTGACCAAAAGTAAAAACCAGAATAATTCTTTGTAATGTCTGAGGTTTTGATTGTTTCTATGTCTGCTTATATATACTTCGTTCTACTCTTCTAACTCTGTTCTTCCTAAACCTTTCAAAGTTTATTTTGAAGGCAGCAATATCATGGTCAACCATGTTAACGTTGTACGCTCCCAGAGCTGTTGTAAAGTGCCATTTGTATCAGGATTCAGCGCCTGAGCAACAAGCATATCCATCGAAGACCAATAATGTTAATTTCTTAAATTGTAGCTCTAGTTTTCCTAAACCGTTCGGGAGTCCTCACAGCACTACATCTCATAGTTCTCCATTTTCCCGGAAATGTGATAAGCAGCAAAAGAGCCTTCATATATTGCATCATGTTGCTACACATAAATGGCTGGTGAGCCAGTTCTGTTCTGTGGTCTGTTGCTTGTGTTTAGTCCATAATTTACTCCTGGTGATTGATATGTTTTACCGTGACATTCATTGTAGTGTGGGTTACATGATTCCATCTCATCAGATGATGAGTTCCGGTCATCACGCAATATAGCAATCAGCCTGTTTAGGCGATACAGAACTTTTGTTGATCGTGGGGGAGGTGAAAATCTGAAAGTAAATTTAGAAGCTTACTTGATTTGCTTCCCTTATTCGGTTTTTCATCCTTTCTTTTGGTTTGAAGACCTATTTTCTCTGTTTTCACTCACAGGAGTTCATAGCTGCTGGGGTAAACGCATATGCATTAGGATGCACTGATGAAGGGATAAGAAAGGAACTGAATGATATGAAGGACTCAGGTGTCGAAATTGAAGCAATGCGGAGTTATGGGGGAAGTACAAGTTTGAAATCCAAGATTATCTCAGAGGAAGTAAGTTTTATCTCAGCTTGAATCTAGTTGTACAGCTAATTTGAAGTCATGATTATCACAAATTCTCCTATTCCCCCTTTTCTTAGTATTAGCCTTATGATGTTTTTTAGAGCTTATACAATGCTAATCTAAAGGGGAGGAATTCTGCCTTCCTATTCTCTTCTATCCTGCATAGCCATATGCAGCATTATTATTTTCTGAAAACTGACTCACCTTAATGGTTCAAATGCCTAGCCTCTTTCTGGCTTTTGACTCAAACTATATTTCTTCGCATTCTGGAAGCAAACAGGCTGCCTTGAAGAAACAGCAAGAAGTTAATTTAGTGGACATTATGTGTGCTAGATCTCACCGGTATCACTTTCTTGTTTGTTTGATGCAGCTTAATGAGTGCGTTCTCTGGCTAAGTATTGTATTCATCACCATCTTGTGTACGCCCCAACCCACTATTGTTAGATGGTCATCTACACCTCCAGTGTCAGATGAAGTGAGGCTTCAGTGGAAAGGCTTTTGTGCCCTCATAGCAAATGCATATTTTATGAAAGGAATGGCTTGGTGAGATGCCTTACTTGCTTTATATTAGACTTAGTGAAGATGCTTAAATTTACAAGACAAACCTTCCGTTGGTAAATCATAATATTGCCTGCTATGTGATCATTGAAGGCTTCCTGTAAAGACTCTTCAACTAGAGCAAATGGCTGTCATGGGGCAAGCTGAGAAGCCATCAGTTGTTGCAAGCCGAATGCGATTAGTCTTTAGCACACTCGAGGTTTGCCTTATGCTGCTACATTCTGTGGAAAATGTCTGGATTCATATCACTGTCATATATGTGGGATATGTTTACCGATCAATACGGAATATGTCAAACTCACTTAGGACCAACTTAATCCTCGTGATATTCTTTTACTAGATTGTAAAACTGAAAGGATAAAAGAAAAAGATGATCAGAGAGGATCTGGATATGGTGTATTGTTTAGAGATTAAATTTTTCAAGAATCTAATGATAAATACCTAAAAGACCACAAGTTTTGTCACTCCATGGTTGGTAGCTAGGTTTTTAACTTGACATATTTTCTCACGATTGCGTGGCGTTTGAGGAATAAACTGTCTGTTAATGGATTGTAAGGAGTTAGTTTTGCTATAAATTTTATTACGTATGTTGATTGATATGATGTTGCGGACTGTGCAGGTGGTGAGTCCACAGTGGCCAAGAGTGTAGAGCATAAGATCTAGTTATTTCCTCAAGAATTCGCGCGTTGACTTGAATTCATGTTTGGCAGATGAAGGTCATTAAGAAAGACAATAAAGTCGAGCATGTGGGGCTCAAAATATACTGTATAGTATAGTCACTCATGGTGAAACGTTAAAAGAAGGGGAAAATGAACTTGTGTTGAGAAGGTGTTGGTATGTTTGAATGTGGCACAATCAAGCAGCATTGTTGCCTGGTTGTGTGGAAGAATATTTCATTGTACATTAGCACTTATTATATATATTATATGGCATACATGATACGTTTTAAGTCTGGTATTTGCAGGATTTGACCGTGAGGAGGATAACTGTAAAAGGGTATGATATGAGATAGATAAACAACTCAAATGGTGTTCATTTTAACAACCATATCAATCAAATTTGATGGTTAGAGCTTCCGCCCAGGCAAGTCCCTTTCCCCCTTGCTTCCTGTACATCCCTGAAAGATCAAACCCTAGCCGTTGATTCTTACTCCAGTACTACCACCATTGCCATGGCCAAAACCTCCAGCAGCTCCAACCCTACCGCCGCCTTCTCGGCCTCCTCTTCCCCACCTGCTTCATATCCTACTTCATGGCCATGCCCACCAGGCCACCTCTGCCATGCCTCCTAAAGAAACTCACACGGCTTCTCCAGCTTCTATAAGAGCTACTAATGCCATTGTCATGGCCATCAAATCTCCAATCTCCAACGATCTAGGATCAGAACATCTGCATTTCTCCCACAACCGATGCCACTCAGTACAAAATGTAATTGACAATAAGAGATCACTAGCTTAGCTTTGCATAGGTGAGGATAGATATATTAGTCGGCACAATCATTGACTAATTGTCATAGTAAGGACTCACGCACCTTAATTTTTTTTTTTTTTTACCTAATATGTTAATCAAGTTGTTGTATAGATGTAACGATGCAAATGGAAACTTTTATATATCATCTGTATAATTTATTAGGGAAGATGATGGCAAACACTAGTTCGTTAGGCTGAATCCAGTACCATGATTCATTATACACAACCACCCACCCAAATAAAGATACAAAATGATGTATTCATGTGTTAATTAGGAGAAATTTTATTTTTTTTCATACATAACAACCTCATTTAATTTAGATGTGGACGAATTAGTCACAAGGGTCTACATAGATGAAGCAGAGTTTGAAGGGAAATAACAAGGATTGGAATTGAACTCAATTAAGGTTGTAGCCCCTTGATAACCCCTCCGCCATATCCCCCGCCTCCGCCTCCGCCTCCGCTGCCACCTCCACCCCATCCTCCGCCTCCGCCTCCGCCTCCGCCGCCACCTCCACCCCATCCTCCACCTACGGCACCGCCGCCACCTCCACCCCAACCTCCACCTACAGCGCTGCTGCCGCCGCCACCACCCCAACCACCACCATATCCTCCATTTCCAGATCCAAAACCGCCTCCAAAACCAAATCCTCCACCACCACCAACGTAACCGGAAAAGTGGTGAAAGAAGGTCTTGTCTTGGCCAAATCCATAATAAGGCTTGTGATTCCCAAACTTCCTTGCGGAAGTAATGGCAGGAAGGATAAGAAAAGCAAGTAAAAACAGCTTAGAATAAGTAATCATTAGTGACATTAGAGAATTCTATGACGTGTGGGTGATACATATAAGAGACGTAAGTTATATATATAGTTGTTCAGACTTCAGACGGTTGCTTTTGTGGTAAGAAGTTGAAGTGTTATGTGAAGGAAGTAAATTTTGCGGTTGGCACCTGTGATTCATATAGAATCCGCTTTCTGCTTCAAAAGCATTGCCCTTATTGTTAGGACGCTCTTGGTCGGTGAGGTCACCAAAAGATCCTTCCAAGTTCTCACATACCTTAACCACACATATTCCTTTGTCACAAATTATGACTCTGTCAGACCAAAAATCAACCTCCTGTCACCAAATCACATTTATCGACATAAAACCAAGGAATACACGCGATTGTCGCATAGTTAAAGCATGCTTTTTAAATAAAAAAAATCTTAGATTCACTGAAAAAAAATGGATGTATAAATTTGTGTTAAATTAATTTGAAACAAGCTGCTATTTGCTGAAATTTTAAATAATATGATTTTTTTTTTGCTACCAAATAATATGATTTCACACACACACACACAAGACATTAAGACAGCTAGGTAAAATTGATTTTATGATAAATAAAAGGAGAATGATAGTTAAGTCTAAAAATATGGAATTAATGACAATCAGGTCTCCATATATTTATCTGAAAACTGAGTCGCAAATAAAAAGTCAAACCACAATAATAAATGTTATGAGTCTTAATTATAAATATGATATTTTAAGTTTCAAATCTAACTTCAAATTATTGTCGCATGATTTAATCGCTTTGTATTTTGGCAGTGAATCAATGCTAATTTGCTTAAATATTGAAGACTGAAATTATTACTACATAAGTTTGTTGGCATTAAAACAAGGATCACGATCATTTGAAATTCCAACGTCTAAACTCTGACATTGGAACTTAAGGATATCTAGTTATCTACATCCTTAAACAAGCATTCTCACAAGATAACATAACTTTGCACAGATTAAATAAAGCCGTGCCACATGCTACCTTCGGTCCTTAATCTTAATATAAGATCTCGTTTCAATTTTATTTTGATCATAAATATAAGACCTCAATCTATTTTGTTTCTCATATTTATTCATTTTTTTAAAGATAGTCTTTCTAATAATGATAGTTCTAGCTCATAAATTTGATTAGTAAGTATATTTGATGACAGATAAACTTATTTATTATGAATAACTGGTTTAATTTATTTTCTTAATCTACTCAAATTAATTAACTATCTCTTATATTTAGGACCAGAGATAGTACATAGTAAGGGCTCACTAAACCAGCTACGACCTCCAAATTAAATGCCAATTAATTAATATAAAAGTTTTGAACAAAGATGTTATGGTTTGCTATAGAGTGCTCTTTCTCTCTCTCTCCTGGGCACCACATGAGCTGAAGTAATTAACATTAGTAATAACCAACGCTATGTCGTTCTCGAGGCTTTTACATATAATTAAATTTAAAGGTCAAAATAAATTGAACCCTGAAAAGCTTGTGTTGGCATGTGGGCTTGCAGGTTGAGCCAGAGTGAGCTCAAGCGAAACGTCGTCGTTTGCGTGTGGCTGAATTGAACCTTTCGAGCTCCTTGATGACGCCTCACTTGTGTCTTCAAATCTTTCAACTTCGCTTTCAGGCAAAACCTTTTCTGCAGCATCATTCATCAGCTGAAAAACATTAAAAAAAAATCTCATTATATATATAAAGCACGTTGGAGTGAATAATGTTAAATAATTAGATGTGGGAAATTAATTAATTAATTAATTGATATTACATGGGCATGATGAAGGGTCTTGAAGAGATCGTTGAAGACGATGTAGGAGTGAGTCTTCTGTAGCGACACAGTCCCACGATTCCTGGCATATATATCACAGAAAGACAACATGTTGAAAGCTGAAACTCCTTTTCTGGCTAACGGATACAAACCGAAACCGAAGTTTTCAGTTTCATATGTTTCATTTTCTCTGTAACTTTGGTTCATGTTTGAATATCATCAGAGGTATTTAATTAATTTGCCGTTACTCTTTGTTTTCCATACACATGTGCATATGCATCCGTGCGTATATGTACTTGTGCACAGAATGTGCCCACTTTAACCCCTATATATGTGTACGCTTCGTTTTAAGTATATGAATCATTCGTTAAACTCTAACAAAAAAAATTATGTAACTATATGAACCAAAGCCAACAATTTAAAATTACAATTAGGATTAAAATCAAAATTCGATCAAACTATAAAGATAAACAATGATATTAAGCTTTATTTTAATTATCGTGTAGTTCGAGAGAGCTACCACTAACTAATAAGCTGGACAATCTTCGGATTTGACTTAATAATCCTACCTATAGGGCCATATATGCAAGCTAAGTGATTAACATGCGCTCCCACTGTAAATGTGAAATAAACTTAAAAATGAGTCATATATAAATGCTCAAAATTCCAGAGGGCGTGTTCATAACTTAAAAAAACCGTATACATAATGGATTATCACATAGTATATAATACTTTCGGTCCTAATTATAAGATTTTATTTGTAAATTATAAACAAGATCTTATAATTACAACCGGAGGTAGTACTTATATGAAATTTGTGCGAATCATATCAATGTCTCACGTGCAACTGAAAAAAGATATATGTTGGCTCACTGTATCTTTAAAGAGGGACACAAGAGAAAGAAGGTTGCTAATAAACAAGGCCACAGAAATCGTACCAATGTGGTTGGATTATTGGAGGATGCTGATTCATATAATAGTGAGTTGGGTAGCTCTGTTCCAGAATCCTGATGTTGACGGATTCTTCATTCTGTTCGCCGTAGGCTGATGATGAATATAACGCTCCTCCTTCCAAACTTCTCCTCTTTGTTTCTTCCATCACACACACAGATATAAGCTTCGAAATATCATAATCATATAACTATTCTTGAAAATTCTTCCACTAAGGCCTTTTGGTGAACGAATAATAATCATATTCTTATAATTTTGAGAAACTAGGTCGCATAAAAAGATCAATCGGCACCACATTTTCATTGGAAAAATTTGTTAAAGGTAACTGCTTGAAAATTTTATTAGCTAAAGTTGCATAAATTTAAATGGTTGCAATTCTTTTTCAACTATTTGTACAACACACATATATCCTGTTTTTAAAATTTTACATCCAGTTAAACATAGATTGTCCACAGTTGAAGAAAAGTTGCACCATAGAACTTTAGCCAATAAAATTTTTCTCATCTTATTGTTGAGAAAATCATGCGAAAACTAATTAATTAGCTGACGTGGTCATATTGTTGGCTTTTCCCCTTTTCCTCATCTTATTGTCTACATTCCATGTATATCACTAAAAGCATGACATTTCCAACTTCATAACATACACCAACTTATACACATACTACATTCACGCGCGCGTGAGCACGCGTGTGTGTGCATGTGTCACATACTGCATTCACATGCACGCATATACACAAGCACACGTGCACACGCGAGCGTGTATTTGATTTCACGTTGAAAACTTCCAAAATTATCATGACTGCATATACATTGTCACATATTATATTTAGTATAGTGTTTACTTGTTTCAGTTTCAATATAATTGTATGTATTCAATATATAGAAGACTATATATAAAAAAGAAGATGGATACTTATATATACATTGAACTTGTGCCATAAGTAACTGATTGTAATAGATGTATACCTTCCATCTCATGTTTCATGCTCCTATACATCTGCACAGCAGAAAATTTAAGGTATAAACAATGTATTAGTTTGCAACACATAATTTTTTTTATTTAAAAAAAAAGAATCTTATTATTATTTTGCTCTAAGGGGAGAAGGGGGAGAGAATCATTTTCTTTTTTCTCTTTAATTTTATGAGACTTGAACCTGACTTTATTCAAACGTCACAGGTGACGGTGTCACTGGAATAACTTGTCAATAATTTTCAGTGTATATTACCTGAAGGTGGCTCTTAACATGAGAAATAGTCAGTCCCTTCACATTCATCAGATGCAAAACCAACTTTGGAGTTGCCCCTTCAAATTTCATATTCCAAATCAATACCAATTAGTGAACAAATCTGATTAAAAAGTATGGAAATGGGGTGATTCTTATGTTGCTAGGAATCAGCGAAAGGAAGAAAAGAAACAACTTAACTGTGTTCTCCACCAAGCCTCTTAACTGCATGCACAAAACATTCATGAAGCTCCGGCGTCCAGCGAAGGCGAGGCAACCTGGATCGAGCATAGGGCCTAATCGCCGGCGAATTCTGGCTTATTATCTCCGGCGATGAAGCAGCATTATTGGGACCCCAGCCACCAAGTCCCGCCTGAGATGCAACTTCTGAAGCGCTGTTATCAGTGTTAACCACACTGCTAAGAGCAGGAGGAGAAGACGAAGAAATGGAATTGTTCTGAGGAATCTTCTGCGTCTCCATTATTGTTTGCTGGATCTCTTTCTTGTGCTAGGGGAGGATGATAATGGGGTCTTTGTAGAAACAAAAGAGAATAAATACTAATAAGCACGACTCTGGGCCAAAAGGTTTGTCCTTTTGCACAGCTTTTGTTAGCTTTCAATTGGGTCAGTTATAGTCCTTTGGAGTTTCGATGGATATGAGGAAAAAACTTGGGACGCGGAATTCCAGAAACCAGAGGTTTTGTTCAAACATGCTTTCATGATTGGGTGAAAATGAAATCACTAACCTCTCTCACTCTCTCAGTTACTTTGGACATTCCCTTTGGTTCATTTCCTTATTACTTTCTGTCTCTTAAATGTGAATATCATAGTATATTTATTACTCCTATATAATATGGAATTAAGCTCACACTAATCAATGATTCTTCTGCCCAAGGAACGTAACACGTGAGAAGTAGAATATATGTATGATCTACTTTTTTAATATGCAGTCATTTATAAACTGCCTTGTAAGAAAAAGAAAATCTTTTTGTTTTTTTGTTTTTTTAGAATTTAGTCGTCTGCTAGCTGTATTGGGTGATGAGTCACCCACCTTGTTACGAAGGAGAGCCACCTAAAGAGATTTCTGTAACTCCATGTTCTTTTTGAACTAAAGGGATAAATATTGACAAGTAATAATATGAAAAGTGATATCAAATTTACTATCTTTTGGAAAACTTTTATTGGATTAGGTTACAAAGCTACCAGCCCAATAATTATATCTTGACAAAAATATTTTCTTCCACATTGTAATTTAAAAAACATATTTTATTGATAAACAAAATAAGACTTATTTTATAATTTATATTACAAAATAAGTCTTATATTTAGATTTGAAAGAGTAATTATTTTTGTTTGTTAGAACTTTATTGATATTTTCTCTTGAGTTAAAGAGGTGAAATTATCATTAGCATGCTTGGGAAATAAGTCAAGAACTGAAGCCCATGTCCTTGTCAGCGCATATCCATGTAATCTATTTTGAGCATTGGTTAAGAACTTACGCAGGACCTTAAGGATCCTAAAATTGCCAAAGATCGCCGAAATCAAACAACTGTGGCAGCCAAAATTTTGAATCCATTTCTTTTTTGGAAAAATCTTAGGTACGTCATATCATATTGTACGATTTTAAGAGAAAAGTCTAAATCATATCATGACATCAGAAAAAATATTTTATTTGTAAAATAGTACTGCAAAAAGGTGTAATAGAATATATGTTATATAAATATATGTGTGTGTGTATATGCCACGCACTTACTCCACATGTGATACTGATAGCAGGAGGAATTGTGCCTGCGTAAAGTGATTGTGTTATCAATAACGATACTATCATTTTGAAATGTCTGATGACCCTTGCGTCTTGTGATCGATGATTTTAAAAGGGGGAAAAATTATTTTCATGTGGACATATGAAGCATAATTAACTATATTAGTAGGTAATATGTGAAATATATATGGAGCTCATTTATGTAAATTACTTTATATGTATGTCATAATTTTTTTTTCCCAAATGTACGTGAGTTTAAATCCCACTATTAAAATGAGAATTTTGTTTGGAAAAAATCTGCAAATATTTTTGTAAATATTTTTTTAAAATTTGAAGACATGTTTTTAATCTTGAGCAGTTTTAAGAACTTAGAGCAAGAAATTGAAGCTATTTCTGATGATTGGTGTGAGAGAAATAAAAAATTTTCCGTATGCGGCTAGTCACTTTGCTTGGGGTTACTAGACAATTAAGAATTATTTAACAATTTATTTGGCGAACAAGAATATTTAACACTTGAGATTTATCTTAAAAACTACTGCAGTTCCATATAAAAAAAAGAATTAACTTCTCTTTCCGTTGATGTCTTTGATTTTAAAATTGTTTTATCAACAATGCCAAAATCAAAACCGTGCTGGTTATATAACGAAAGTCCAAACAGTTCAAAATATCTCGGGATACCCGTCCAGTCCACACGTTGATCAGCTTCTTTGCAAATTTGATATAATCACTTTGAATTTTGAAGTGAAATAGAAAGAATATACCACTTCTAGTTCTAATTATAAGACATCATTTAGTATATGAGATTCCGTACATTGACAGGTAATAATAAGGAGTGGATCAAGTGAAGTGTTTGATATCCTTCAGCAAAAAACTTGCGACTGGAACAATTACGTATAGCAGTATCACACCATCGGCTACAATTTTCTTAATTCAACCATAATCTGATAAAATAGCAGACATGCTGCATCGTCCAATAAAAAATTGGACTCGAACACACAAATCAATAATAAACTGGCCGGAGCTCAAGCTGAGCTCAATGAGTAACTAATGCTAAATTATAAAGGCCTAATGTCATCCGATTACAACGTAGCGAATCAAAGATTCGAATTCTTAATAAAAGGATAACTAAGTACTGTGCAGCTGTGGTTAATCAAAGTAAAGGCCTAGTGCGTCGACCTCTTGCCCTGCCACAGAGAAGTGCGTTCTTTGGGATGGGATATTCGTCCCTCCATGACTTAGACGATGTGTACACTCTCAGATACAATTGTTGTCCCAGGTACTGCCTCCCCCAATTCTCTGATCTTATGTTCCACATTCCCACGTTGTCCAGTGCCACGTAGATCGCTGTCCATGACCTCGGGTACACCTGATTATTATCATCCAATTCCCTTCTGCTATATCACACGTACACAAATCACATATTAATGGAAATTAATTAAAGCCCCCAACTTTAATTACCTGAGTGGTGCATCTCGCAACAGCGTCTCTCAGATTGTAACCCGCTCTAATCGCAGCTGTCCACTGTCCACTACCGAACCTGTATGTATATTTTCCATATTGCTCATAAAAATGTCAGACATATCGATGCAGATAAATGTACAGAAGGTGAAACATGGAAGGGCCTACGTACCCTACGACGAAGAAGGAATAGCCATCGATGTGCCATGACTGAACGGAGTTTTCCCAGTTCTGGAACACGATCTCTGCGAACTCATGGTAGTTCGCGCCCAAAACTGAAGTTTGAAGGTAGGCGTTCCCGCCGCCGGTTGGGTAGGAGGGGATGCTTCCGACGGAGAAGACGCCGGGGATGTTGAAGTAGTCGGCCAGCTTGAGAGGGGTGTCTGGTTCAACGTATGAGACGCCGTTGACGGCATACCTTTGCTTGCCGTTGATGTGAGGAGCAGAGCTTGCGAAGACGATGGTTCGAGACGGTTTGATCAGTCCATAGTGGTATGAACCCTGGGGGTTTGGTCTCGGCCCACTTGCCGTCAGGTTTTGCCTGGTTCGAGTTCGAGCCCCGCGTCAGAGGGAAGGAGACAAATCAAAGCAGACGGGCAAATTTGTGATGGAACAACATAAATTCCATTTTTATTTATTTTTAAAAATAAAATATTATCTTTATCAATATTAATAATACATATTAAAATACAAAGAGTGTCATAAAAAATCTGACTTTTCTCATGCAATGTTTCTTTCAATTTTTTTTAATATGACTATTTAAGTGGACCATATTCGAGTATTGTTGGTCCTAATTAAAAATAATTCTCTCAAAAATATTTTGAGCATTCATACAGATCCCAAGTTAAGACTTTGTGCTTTATTAGCCAGAGTCAACACCTGTTAGTTAATTATTTAATCCTTCTCCGCAAATATTATTGGGCTCCATGTGATTCCCCTTTGTTTAATTTTTTGCATATCCAAACGAGAATTAGATATTAATAGAAAGGGGTCAGGCTTAGGTAGAGGGCCCAAATACTCATCATCAGTATTTGCCTTTGGATCGAAATCATTAGCAATAGTAATTTAGTATTACATTCAGAAAATTTCTTGTGGATTCGGCTAATCAAATCGTTTTGGGACTAAGAAATTAGTTTCTAAGGGAAATGGCCAATCATGCATATCGTTTCAAAATCACAAAAATCACAAAACAATCCCAAAGAGCATAGGGCTTGAAATATTAGTAAATGCAAAAGTGATTTAAGGAGTTGGGAGAGTACCTGATAGTTCTGGCCTGAGAGAGAGAAGAAGCAATATCCAGGGTTGGTCCTGGAGGAAAAGGACCAGATGCTTTAGTATGTGAATTGCTATAGTGAAGAATGGCTGTATTTTTTAGCACCCTCCTGGTAAATCTGGTAGACACGGCTATGTAATAGTCCCGGGCAGGTTGGTCAGCCGTCACCAGAACTGAGTAGGACTGCCCTAAATGGATGTCAAGTGAAGAATACGTCTGCTGAATTGTATGAGTCCCTTCGACCTCCACGAGTTTCATATTGTGCCCTTGGATTCTCAGGTTTATGGACGTCGTCAACCCCACATTTGATATCCTGAATCTGTATGTCTTCCCTGCACATACCATGTTATAATCACCACCACATGATATATATATATAGAGAGAGAGAGAGAGTCACTTGTGGTTAACACATGAATTTACCTTGCTCAACAGTGAATGTGATTTCATTCCACCCGCGTCCGTTAATGAGCAGACCATCTGGGAAGGGAAGGTGATGGCCATTCGCTAGCATTCTTCTCAGTCTCTGCAATATATATAGCAGAGAGGGACAACGCATAAGTATCAAGTATGAAGCATGGAAGAGGACGAAGAGAGTGATAACGATGCAAAGGTGTGTGTTTGTTTGAATTACATGGTGGTCTCTCTTGAACCAATCTCCAGCGAGTATGGTGAAGTCGCCCGAAGGAGGAGGGAATGGGACAGGAATCCTAGGACGGCTCCAGATTCTGATGCTTCCGAATCCTCCGGCAGCTTTATGCATTTGCAGAGAAGGGAAGTAGAAGAAGCTTCCTATCTGATCTTTAGTTCTCATAATGTATGTGAAGTTCTTCCCTGGTGGGATTGGACAGTTCGTTCCAGAAACACCATCCTGCCAAGATTTCCTCCTGTGCTGCAACCCATTCCTGCACAATTTGCAACCCATATCTCCAGCTTCATTCAACTAAATCATTCACTTCAATGAATCTCTTTAAGTTTGCAAATTTACAACTATAGTTAAAGAGATTTAGCTTTTATATCTGATAGATGATAGTTTCTGCCTACGCTTTTTCTTCTAATAAGCTGCTAATCGAGATTATTGTATTTAATCACCACATCAACCTCCAAAATAATTAAAGAGGTCAACTTATATAAGGCCTCTGAAAATTTACGTATCCGAGGGTAAGTTCACGTGATCAACAAAAAGATGGTATCTCGTGAATATTATCAGCATTTACATTCTATTCCCCGCATCTCACTTTTGCAGAAAGCTCTGTTTCTAGAATGCCAGGGCAGAGGATCAAAAGGAAACAAAGAGAAAAACACAAGGTAAAAATAGGAATGTGATGTACCATGAAATGAGGAATGGTTCTGGGAGGTAGTTGTAGACGCGGATCACCAAGTTATCATTTGTGACCGCATCTAGTTGAGGCCCAGGGAATTGGCCATTAATCAAGATCCCCTGCAAGATTTAAGCCAAAGCAAAGAACATTGAATCCCAAATATTTGAATATTGAACCAAGAACACCTATCAATCTGTTCAGCACACACGAAAGGAAAAATAGTTCCCTTCTCCACAAAAATATAGGAAGTCTTCAGAAAGGTAGAAGAAAGGGAATGAATGAGACAGAACAATAATGCAAGTACATACCCGTTGCTTCACACCCAGAGGGTAAATGTCGCCGTACGTGATCTTCCAAGTGAGGAATCTATAAGGGTCTTCAGAGTTGACGCCATTGACAAGAAACATAGCAAGAATGAGAACTGTAACGACATTGCTAGCTCTCATTCTGATCTCAGACACTTGCCTTCTTGTCAAAGGAATGTCTGTGTGCAAAGAAAGGAGGGAACTTTAGTTGTTTGGGCAAATGGGTATGGAACAGAATGTGTGTAGAGCAAAATATGAAGCCTAATAAAAAGGCCCCGCACTCAGTCAGTCACTCCCAGTCCTATGAAAGGCTAAACCTCTAGAGGGATTATGTACCTTAAAAAACTCGAACTTTTTGTTTTGCTTATGTTGTTTCAGGGAAAGTGCGTAGTGGTTTTGTATGGGAAGAGTTGTCAGTTGGCTCTTCAGGTGAAGGAACAGTCACATGTTAATGTAAGGCGGGAACACAAGTTCAGATCCTGGGCTTGTATTATTAAATTTAACACGATATGTTGAAGCTGGTAATTTCGTCTTTTTGTATATTTTTTTGTAATTGTATAATCTACACGTTTATATCTATGATAAGAAAATTATAATGAATCAAGTTATTTAGAGGACATGAATAACATGATTTTTATTTGCCAAGCCACATCAAGACCACACTAATTAATACTTCCTTTGATTCTTAGCATAAGATTTTTTTTTTTTATTTTGGTTTTAAATATAAGATTTCAATCTACTTTGTTTTTTATATTTATCTATTTTTTTTAAGATAGTCTTTGTAATATACTACTTTCAATCCTAAATATAAGAACTAGTTGACTAATTTGAGTAAATTAATAAAATTAGTTAAGTTAATTATTTGTAATAAATATGTATTGTCTTTTCTAAAATATCATTGCTAATCAACTTTATTAGATAAAATTATCATTATTAAAAATAATATTTTGAAAAAAAGATGAATAAATATAAGAAACAAAATAGATTAAAGTTTTATATTTATAATTAAAAATAAAAATTAAATAAAATTTTATATTAAAAATAAAAGATACTCCTCCGGTCCTTATTATAAGACCCAATTTGATTTTTTATTTGGTCCTAATTATAAGACCCAATCCATTTGTTTCTTATATTTATGTATTTTTTCCAAGATAATCCTTCTAATAATGATAGTTTTAGCCAATATACTTAATTAGTAAGGATATTTTAAGAATGACAACACTTATTTATTATAAATAACCAATTTAACTTACTTCCTTAATCTCCTCAAATAAATCAATTGGGTCTTATAATTAGGACCGGAGGAGTAGTATAATAATTAAATAATCTGGGCAAGGAAGAGCACCTGTGAAAAAGGGCACACGTCTCAATGGTCACGGATCATAGGCTGTCTGGCCGAGGTTGTACCATCTTAGTGTGATCCTATTAAGCGGAGTTGATGAAAATGGTTTTCTTGTTTATTAATGTATATCGAAATTAATGAAGCAGTGTGCGGCTCACGGGCATCTGACATTTTTCACTCATAATTAGTGATAAATTATGGCCATTAACATATAATATATCTTTCAAGTTTCACTTGGTCAGTCGTGTCATTATGACCCCATTAGCGGCACTAATCGTCTTTGTCATTAGGTTCTTGTCTCTTCATGGGGGAAAAAACCCCGGAAAAAACTAATTAATTAGCTCTTTTTATTAATATAATATCCAGGTTTTAAAGTTCTAGTGATCAGAAAGCTTGTCCCAAAGTGTTTTTACTTTTTTTTTTTTAATGATTAGTCAGAAAGCAGTTTAGTTCCACTGTATCAGTTAATATTAATATTAATCAGAGAAGTTTGATTATTTATTTCATATTTTTCATTTACATTTAATTTTTAAAGTGGTCCCTATATAACTTAATTAGATGATTGGGAGAATCATGTTGAACAAGGAAAATATAAGAATATTTAGCCTAAAATGCCTTAAAATACGAAATTATTATGAAAGACCAAATCAATAAAAACACATCCAAAGTGACTCATATACCTTCATTATCACATGCCCATCCCCTCACTGCCTTGCATAGTTATTCTTGCCCATCTCTCATTCCAAAAACCAAAAGTTTTAATGTGGCTACTTACAAGGTCCTTTTTCAATTGATTCTCCTTATTTTCCAGGTGATACGAACTTGCCATTGCTAAGAAACCATTGGGTCTCTTGTAACTCATCCTACTCTTGCACTCTAGTCTTTAATGCAAAAGCCACTTAATTAATTTAAGTAAATTAAAAAGATTTAAGTAAATTACTTAATTCTAATAAATATCACATATTGACATGATCTACCTAAAATATTTATATGTAACATAAAAATTATAAGGTTAAAATGCACCTAATATCTTAAAATATTTTTTCAGATACGTCCATTAAAATATTTTGTGATATATCTAATATTTTAAAATAATTTTACCTATACGCCCAAAACCAACTTTATAAGTAGCCTCCACATACAGTGGAGGAGTAATGTATTACTCTCATTCCATATACAGACGGCTCGTCCCCTCGCCAAATCAGAGGCCACTGGGTCCACACCGTCCAGTGGTTATGGCAAAAGCCTTCTGGGCCTTCTGGGCCGAAATAGTTTGTCTGGATGAGCCATGCTTTGGGCTTGCTGGTAAGGACCCAACTTTTCTTTTCCGAGTATATAGTTATATTATTAACATTAACACCACAAATAATAAACTTTTTCTCTGAGTTTGACTTATTTAATATTCCATTCTTAATATAAGGCTTAATTGAATAATTTAAAAAAAAATAAAAAAACTTAAAAATTACTTAGCTTATGTTGCATTATCTCTTAAAAAATAGTTGTATATATCATTAGATTATATATTAGTTTATAAGTTGAGTAAATTAATTTTAAAGATTGATAAATATAATAATTTAAAGTAATTTATTGAACCTCTTTTAATCTTCTCAAAGTTGTTAACTATATCTTATATTAAGAAATGGATGTGGTATTAATAAATAAAATTGTTACATGCACATACAAGCATATCAAGACTACTTTTGTTATTATGCAGGGGGGTTTCCTTTCTAGCATATCAATATCCACTGATGTGATGCGTTTAGGACAAATAGGACTTAATATAAGTACTTTCATATAAGACGAAATAATTTTTTTTTAAATACTTATTTCATATTTAGTAAATCATGATTTACAAATTGCTTTTAAATACTTAGAATCGTGACTTAAAACAAGCACTGATATTGCTATGCAAGCCAAGCCCAACAGTGTTTTGAGGGGAACATTAGTGTCTTGTTTTTGCTTGTTCTATGCGGCTCACTTGGCAATGTTTTCTCGGTGAAGCCGACGAGGCCTGTTTTCCAGTAGGAGTCCAGAATCAGAGTATCCTCTCCTGATTGAACGGTTTGATTAAATTATTGCCAATGACCAATATGGGAACATGCCGAGGAGGAAGATACTTAGATCTTGGGAAGTTGGGAGTTGACCTTATTCATATCTTTGTGCGTTGACTGCTGATAACTGGGCATAACACTTGAAATACCAGCTAGAGATTGAATTGGAGTGAAAATAAAAGAGCTAAAAAAAAATATAAAAATTCATATGGACAGATGCCAACAGATTGAGATTACAAGTGACATCAAATTGGTCATTTCCTATGAGAGAAAATTCCGTGCTTTTTTTCCCATAAAAATTTCATGCTGTTAGACTATAAGATGATTGACAGTTGCTTGAATTTTTAATTTAAAAAGAGGGACAGACCTTGGGCAGCATAAGAAAAAAGACGTGATTTATGATGAGAAAAGTTTTTTTTTAAAAGAAAAGGTTTGAAATAAGTAGACTTTTTTTCATAACAGAAGGTTGAATGCAGCAAGGAAAGAAGCAACGTCTCTGTGAGGATCTGGGCCAGGCTGGACTGTGGAGGGAGGGTCAAGTGCCATTGGAGCACCTTCTTCAATAAATGAAAAGCCTCTACAGCAATTCATCATCTTTTTTTTAAAAAGTCGACCTTTTTCCGCCCTGTTTCTCCTCCCACTAGTAAAGCCAACCCACCCCCAACCCCACTTTTTTCTCCCTTAATTAACAATTACAATAAATTCGCGTTGTTGCTTTTTTCCCAGTAATAAATATCAACTCAAAATGAAACAGGCATAACTTGTCCTTTTTAAAATTATTGTCGACGGCTTCAAACTGGGGCTAACTCAAACAGCCACACCGCGAGAAACGCGGTTGTCCTGTAGCACACAAGCATGCCGTAAAACTGTTGCCAATTGCGATTAATTTTTTAGTGTCTTCTCCACTCTTCTTCTATCTTCCCACTGTACAGCTTAAAAAGTTCAGTGATCTAAACCACGAAAAAACCCACCTACCAGGTACCTGCATATACTGTCATTCCCATTTTTGTACCCAAAAATATAAAGAAGCAGAAAGGAGAGGGAAGCTTTTTGGAAGATAATGCTTGCATCTGTAGCTGAACCAGAAGCAGAGGATGAGGAGCTCAACCTGAATCTCCTGTTCAATGGCAAACTCTAAGTTTATCTTCTCCTTCTTCTTCCTCCTCCTCCTTGTTGCCATTTCATCTGGAGGTAATTCCCGAGAAATCTTCATCCTTTTCTGTAATTTATCATTCCCTTGTTCTTAATTGCTTTCTGGGTTTCGCAGCTCGCCAAGATAACGTGCCATTTGTGGGTTTTAACATTGGTACTGACGTTTCGAATCTGCTTTCGCCGTCCGACCTCGTCGCCTTTCTTCAACTTCAGAAGATAACCCATGTTCGGCTGTACGATGCCGACCCGGACACCCTCAAAGCTTTGGCTAGAACTAATATTCGGGTCGTTGTCGGCGTACCCAACAACCAGCTCCTCGCAATCGGATCTTCCAACACCACTGCCATCTCCTGGATCAAGCGAAACATCGTCGCTTACTACCCCGCTACTCTCGTCACCGGAATTTCCGTCGGCGACGAGGTCCTGACTACCATACCCTCTTCGGCCCCCATTCTTCTTCCCGCGATTCAGTCCCTCTATGATGCCCTCGTCGCTTCGAATCTCCATAACCAGATCACGATTTCCACCCCTCACGCTGCTTCGATCATTTTGGATCCTTTTCCTCCGTCGCAAGCTTTCTTCAATCAAAGCCTCGT